CATCCTAATTGATAATCAATGTTCAACGCAAAGATTCCATATATCAAACTAAATTCATTATTTATTTTCGGGATGAAATCAGATGTATATATATAGTTCAAAAGTACACTTTGATATCATTTTGTCGTTCATTCATCCATGTTCACATTAAGATGATCCATAAAATTCAGTTTGGCAGAGATTGTGCTGGTTTTGATGATATTCAAGTAGAAAAGGATCGCAGCTTTCAGTAAGCATTTGCAATGGTGATATACGTAATGAATCGTGTATAACAATGATTTTATGATGAAAGATAATCAACTGATCACAGTAACATAGCAATGGTCGATACTGAATGCGGTCATTAAGTAACGATACGTAGAATGAGGATGTAAGTTTGAGTGTCATGATAGTAGCAATTGTGTTTGTTCAGATGTTGAAATATATCACTGTTCGTCAGTGTTTGCCAGTCCAAACCCTGACGGCTGCTTCCAATCATTTGTGCATGGACCACGTAGTTCCCCCAGTAACGGGCACGTACGATCTTAAAATAAAAAACAGCTTATATTATCAGCTACAAAAGAAATTATTGCTTGCCTCTGTGAACGACCGTGCTATAGAATGTGGTAAAAAATAAGTTAAGCCAATATAAATAGCAGTTTTTCAACGATTATATCCCGTATCGTTTTCTGCGAATCATTTCGTTCCCTCTCTAAAATCATTCCAATTTGTTGTTGCTGCCTTTACGTTCCTTCCGTATTCACTTATTTCCTTATCGATTCAATTGAATCAGTTTTTGCAAAAGTGCATACCTGATCGAGAATGTATTTGCTGAGTTGACCCATATCATGCTGATAATGTCGTAAACCTGAGTCTATAAAATCGGCAAATTTCGGCTCACCACACATTGCCGTGTCGACATTGGTTGGAAAATTCAACGTTCCATTAGCAAACTGCTGCTCGGTGTCATTTGAATCTAAATGTAACACATTCTCAGCCTTTCACTCAGGACGAGCACTGTTTTGTTGAGGTAGTTGAAACATCTCTTGTATCAGGCACTCATCAGTACTTCATTCTTGAATCGATGGATGTTTAAGAATACCATGTAACATATTGTCTATTGAAAAAACCAATATGGACTTTCCCCTCCCAATACGATGTAATTATTCAGAACTACGCAGGTTGGGAAACATGACAGGCATTTATTACTTATTCTTCCGACTGTATTTTCAAAGCAAGATGAAACTCCAGATATACAACTAAGGAAGCGACTCTTAAGGCTAATAGCAATTGAAGTTCTCTTCTGATAAGAACTGAAAAAATGTGCTAGGAATCACTGGGCGTTGAAGAAGACTCTCTTGCAATTTGACCACTTGAAAAGTGTGCAGCAGTAATATTTAACCACCTCTTTATGGAAATATATCTCGTATATACTTCAAATACTGACTTAAAATAAAATTGAGCGATTGCAATGGATCACTTAAAAAAGCTGTACGTACCTCGAGGCGGAGTATGATTACGAGGTCGATAGCGACGTGCGATCTCCTTCACATAACCCGCATTCACAGTCACAACTATCGCCAGCACAATGAAGCGAAACAACGAAGATCGCATCTCTGAAGAGATTATTCCTCTCTTATAGAATAATGAATGAGACTTCATATTCTTGAAATTACAATTTCAGTGAATAAAATGGACTTCGATAGAGCACCTTTAATGAAATTTTCGTTAGATTGCAGTGAGCCCTATGAAATTAGCAGATGGATGCAATTTTTGTAGAACTGATCAGGAGTAATAATGATTCATTGATACTACTTACTGCTATAAATATTTGTTAACTATCATACTACCGCTCTGAATATCCCCGCTAGATTCAACTATCTATTTGATTCACTAGCAATATTCAGTACATTGTAATATTAATATTAGAATCGTTTTCATTGATACTATTCATTTTTCATTACTGTTAGTGTTATACAAACGATACAACACAACATTTTCATGACTAAGGAACTTACCAATATATGTGAAAGTATTGCTATGCTAATCGTAAGCTAGCAAAGCGGAATGTGCACTGAACAATATCTGAGGACGAAGGTGAAATCAGCTGACTGTCTCTGGGTGCTGAACTGCGAATGGATAAAGCAGATAAATCCTTTGTAATGTTCTTTGGTTTTACTTCATCGTTGAAAAATACCAACTGGTGAAAGATTCTTACATTGCAATCGATAAATCAACACAACGATTGAATCAAAGTTCTGTTTTATTATCTTGTTTTGATCTGCAATTACTCCTTTAATCTGCACTTTACAGAGAAAACTTTACTACCCAGACCCCCACCTCCATAAATCTCCCCCATAACTCTTGCCAGCGCATCCTATCCGATTGCTGGATCTGGTTTATCTTTCTGTCTTTCCGAGTATAATTGCTTATAAAATGATGACAGCCAAGAGAGCAACAAACTAATTATAAACGTTCCAATACTTTTATTGTTTTCTCATGAATCAACTTGTTTAAAGTGCTTTAGTTGGTTTTCTTCCATTCGAAGCGCACACATAGATCAACGTAGACGAGAGGAAAAAAGAGTCAATAATGAGTTTGTTGAGCTGTAATTTCACATTTCCTATTCGAACGAGCACGAGAATTTCATGGTCACAATGAAGAGTTTAACGATGATCACAACAAGTCACTAGCGATTCATTGTCATTGTTTCGGAACGAAATACTGAGCACAGACCGAGATCATCGTTGCGAAATTGTTGGTTTCGAAGAGAGTCCATGTGGAAAGATCGAACAACGTTTCAATATTTTATTGTTAACAACATTTCATTTTATGGTTCTATTAGCGGACAATAGAACCATAAAACAAAGTCAAATACAATACATGGAACAGCATAAAGCAAGTACATTTTTCACAACATCGAATTTGCAGATCATTCCAGCGTTCCAAAAAAA